GTGTGATTTCTGAGCAATGCACGTGGAATCTAGCCCACAGCAACAGTTAAGACCAAGAGACCGCTACAGCATCGGCTGGGAGCCAGCTGGCTTTTAGCTCAGAGGGTAGCGGCTCCTATACTCCGCTGCAGAGGACCCAGGTTCAAATCTGCCTGGTTGTGGTTACCGATGCTCCCCCCAGAGCAGTGCCAATGCGGGTAAGAGGAGGTCTGGGATCAGCCAGGCTCAGTGAGGCCTTTGCCTTCTGGCTGGTTCACCAGTTGAATTCCAGATTCCCACAGCGTACCACACTGTGCAGTCCAGGGTCCCCACAAAATGAACGATCTGCATCTCCCCTCTGGTTTCTGGGAAGGGCTCAGGGTGTACCATGCCTCCCCAACAGAGGACAAATGGGTCTGGGCCCCCCTATGAAGTGGGTGGTTAGTGTGATGGCTGGGGCCCTCCCCTCTCCTGGGCACAGGGCCACAGGCCTGTCCCCACGATGCTCCAGCTGGTAGAGCAAAGGGGCTGTGCGCAAAGGCCCTGGCCCTGCTCTCAAGCCTGGGGCAGCTGCGCTGCGGGGGGCTCTCCTGCAGCCAGGAGGGATGATAGGAGTTACTAGAGAGAACTTTCTGGGTGTCTGGCTGGTGAGTCTTGCCCACATGCTCAGGGTTTAGCTGATCGCCATGTTTGGGGTCAGGAAGGAATTTTCCTCCAGGGTAGATTGGCAGAGACCCTGGAGGTTTTTCGCCTTCCTCTGTAGCATGGGGCACAGATCACAGCTGGAGGATTCTCTGCATCTTGGGGTCTTCAAAGTATTTGAAGGCTTCAATATCTGAGATATAGGTGAGAGGATTGTTCTGGGAGGGGTGGGTGAGATTCTGTGGCCTGCACTGTGCAGGGGGTCAGACTAGATGATCATAATGGTCCCTTCTGACCTTAAAGTCTATGAGTCTATCTTCCTCTGCATCTCCCCAGCCTCACTCTCTGGTCGCTCTCTGGTCTCTCCCGCTCCGAGCTGTCTGGTGGGTCTGGGCAAAGGTGCAGCCCCTGGGCACACAGCGGGAGGACGTGGCTCCAGCTTGCTCAGTTCAGTGGCCAGGGATCAGCCTGCTCCTCCTGCCCGGGGATCTGGAAATCCGCTCGGTGCTCCCACCTGTCAGGGGCTTGGTCTGTTGGCCTCTTCGCCCCTTGCTGCCAAGGTGTCCCGGGATGGCTCTTCTCAGGCTGCTGACCGGAGATCCTTCCTCCTGCCTCCTCAGTCCTCTTTAGCCAGGCTACTTCCCAGCCCTTTGATCCTCCCCGCTGCTGTCACCCATCAATCAGCTGTGGCCCGCGGTGCCTGGATTAACCCTTTGGGTTCTGAGCTGGCCTGTGGGACTATACCCCACATGCAGGGTCCCTTTGAAACACCTCTTCCAGCTGGAGCAGGGAAGTGGGCAATGTTCCCTCTCATCCTTTCCATCCACGTGAATAGTTTTTATATCCACCTGTGGAATAATTTCTCTCTGCACCAAGGTAGGTGTGAATGTGCACCACCAGTTGGAACTAAACCTTGCTGTTGGCATTCTGCTAATCAGCCAGGCAGCCTTGGACTCTCCTGAGGTGCCACACAAGCACCCGGCTTACAGGGAACCCTGGCGGTGGGGCAGGACCCCAGTGTCCTAGGCCTGCTTTCTAACCCTTCTGGCCCCGTGGGGGGCTCTACACCTCAACAGGCACCTGGTGAGAGGGTGGGATGGAGCGGAACTGGCGCATCCCCTTGGCTGTGACGTCCTCCTGTCTCAAGAGAAGAAGGATCCGTCAGAGCCTTGGATGCCCCCAGGAATCAGGGGGAATGCGCCCACCCCACGGTCCCTGCAGCTGCAGGTCCTACAGCCTGTCAGAGCCACCTGCCTACACCTGGGGTTAGGGGGCCGGAGTAAGAGGTCACCTACGTACAATCCAGGGAGGGGGATGGTGAATTAGAACCGGGCTCTGCGGCTCCTTACAGCCTTGGCTCTCACCTGGGACACTCTGGGCCTGACACAGGAGTTGACGTGCTGTGGGGGAAGGGCAGGTTAGGATCAATGGACCCATGTCCAGGCCATGCCAGCGAGCCCAACCCCCATCCGCAGGGCTGAGCAATGGGGCTGCGGGTGGAATATCTGATTCCTGGATCTCACCAGGGGTTGGATGTGGGAGGGGTTGGAGGAAGAAGGGACCTGCATAGCTCTGCCCTGACCAAGGCTGGCCCACTGGGGCTCAGGCTAGGAGGACAGGCTGGGACAAGGCGTTCCAGTTTCCCCTTTCCAGTTCCCCCCAGTGCTGAGGTAAAACTGCCCCCACCCCTCCGGACCATGCTCACCTCCAAGCTGTATTGGAGCCTGTCTGTGTCTGGGGACTCTGCCCGCAGGGTCCCTGCCTGGGGTCTGACACGCCCTTGAGCGGAGCCTGCAAAGGAAGGGCAGCCGTGGGTCACAGCTGGGAACCCGAGAAAACGTCTCCCTGCCAATAGCTCCCTGCTCGGCCAATCAGCATTGAGACTCTGGGCAATGGAAGGTGGGAGGGGGCGTTCTTAGCAGACGTCCCGAAGGATGGCCCAGGTCACCGCCAGAGGGGAGCAATCTCAGAGCAATTCCAGTCTCACCTCTCTGGGAGGGCCAATCACAAAGCCATAAGGGGGTGTCTCTGAGGTTGCCCCCACCTTGCCCTTCTGTCCTGCCTGGCTGATGTCAGGGTCTCCGGGTGAGGTCACCACCTCCCCATCACCTTTCCCCAAATGGCGGAGGCGCTGAGACAGGCCTTTGTGATGTCACTGCCACCCACCCCACCCCTACCAAGGCTGGTGTCCTGTGCCCAGCATGGAAAACTCAAACTTTACCAGTCTCCCTGAAAGATTCACTGGTACCTTGCTGGTACCCAGATGGAGAATTTTTCTAAACAAGTAGGACTAGTAAAAAAGAGCATATAGGAAGCACTTTATAACGTGCACGTTTCCTGGTGCTGGGAGGGAGTGAAGATGAGGTGATAAAGCATTGGAATACAGTGATTAAAATGTAAATTGTTATATTAATTGTTATAATCATCATCATTTGCATTTTCATAGTGAGTAGACACTCTATTCATGAACTGGGACTGGTGCTAGTCCCTGTACCAAAACAGAACAAAAAGACACCCTTGCTTTAAAGAGCTTACAATCTCGTGTAAAACATGAGATGACAGAAGGATATAGACATACGTGGGAGTACAAGTAAACAGCGAGACAACAGTGGTTAGCATAAGAGGCAGTGGTTTCTGAGGAGCAACTGCCTAACCATTGCCATGTTTTTAGGCAGTACAACAAAGAGGAATAGGGAAGGGTGATTTGAGGTGGATGACAAGGTAGCCACATACTGCAGCTGTGGATTTCTAGTTTGATGTGGTTACCATCATTATTCAGCAAAATAAACAGAGGGAAAGTGATTAGTCTGAAAGCAGGTGTATAGTGTCAACACACCACACCACCTTCCCCTTCTAGTGCTGGGGAAAGTATTCAGCAGTTCTGACCTCTGAGTGAGATGCCCCCTAATGAATTAAAACACGTTTTTTATTTAACACCATTATAAATGCTGGAGGCAAAATAAGGTTTGGGGGGAAGCTGATAGCTTGCGACCTCCCCACGTAATAACCCCGTGACCATCTGAGGTGTACCCTTCCAACACCCAGTTTGAGAACCCCTAAACCCCTGGTGTCCAACCAGTTCTGAAGTAGTAGCCACTATAGTGGCTAAAACTATAGCAAAATAACCACATTGTTCACATCAACTAATCACACTCACATGGCCAAATAGCCACACGTGGCTAGTGGCTAGAGTGTTGGACACCAGGGCCCCAGCCTAGATGCTCTGTGTTTTCCAGAGCCTGCAACAGAACACTGTCTATTTAAGTATGTGCTAATAAGGCTTTTTCTCTGTCTGAGAAGAAATACAAAAACGTCTATCCCTGCCTTTTTCCCCCCATCATAGCCTGTAGGCAAAAGAGCTTGAATAATTTAGAGGGTTTATTGTTTATTGCTTGATGGAAGTGGGAGTGTTGCATGTGTGGGAAAAGCGAATTGAGGGAAAGATAGGCGGAAGACATCTGCGTTTAATTCAGAAAGGGGTTTTGTTCTGAGGCCTCAGACCTGCGCTTCCCCCAGAACCAGGCACTGATACAGCTGGTCATAAATGCAGTCCCCGAGTGACGAACGTGATCCGCGCTTACGAACAGTGCGGTCGCCATGTAACTCAATGAGGTCCGAGTTACGAACACCACTTCGAGTTACGGCCAAGTGTTTGGTCCGTAACTCGTTCGTAACTCGGGGAGAGGGTGTATTATCCATTGACCATGAAGAAGGGTGACTTTCATTCTCCCCATTATAGATGGGGAACGGAAGAGGGGTCCTGGTGCCCCAATTCCTTCAGTCCTGCTCCCGCTAAGGGACCTTCTCCTGCCTGTTGTATCACCCTCGCTCAGTGTAGCTCAACCTTTTTTTTTAATACATTTTTATACATTTTTTTTTAAATATAAGTACCCCCAGTAGGGATAGTTTTCAGACACACAATTTTTTTTTCTACCACTGCAACATGTTTGTTTAAACAACTTCATCGTAGCCAGGCGGGCGATGACATTTTTGGGTGTAAAACGTACAAAAATAATAAAAGGCGGTAAAACATAAAACAAAAATGGAGTTTTCTCCAGATTTCAGTTGTGTTGACGTCCCCCTCCCCCCCTCCCCAGACTTCTCTCGGGTACCCCTAAGGCTACTGGCCCCCTGGCTGAGAAACGCTGCCCTAGCTCACAGCTGGGCCGCCTCCACGTGCTCCCCGCCACTGGACGGGCATCCCCGCCTGCATCCCAAGGGAACTACATGTCCCGACATGCCACGCGCCACGGGCCGGGACTACGTTTCCCAGCATGCCCCGCGCGGCCCCGCGTGGCGTGCTGGGGAGGGGAGTCCCGCGGGGCGGTCCCTCAGGCAGGGCGTCCCGGAGCTCCGCCCTCCGCGTGGCCGGCCCCGCCCCCTGGCCTGCCGGCGGGGGGTCCCGTGCCCGCGGCGGAGGACGGAAGCCGAGCGGGCGGGATGGGGGACTCCAAAGTGAAGGTGGCGGTGCGGGTCCGCCCCATGAACAGGAGAGGTGAGTGCGGCCCCGCCCCCCCGGGGAGACACTGCCCCCCCGCCCTTCTCTGGGGGAGAGATTGCCCCACTGCTCCTCTCTGGGGGGAGACACTGCCCCCCTCCCCCCGCGCCTGGGGGAGAGGTACTGCCCCCCCTCGCCCCCCCCGCGCCTGGGGGAGAGGTACTGCCCCCCCTCGCCCCCCCCGCGCCTGGGGGAGAGGTACTGCCCCCCCTCGCCCCCCCCGCGCCTGGGGGAGAGGTACTGCCCCCCCTCGCCCCCCCCGCGCCTGGGGGAGAGGTACTGCCCCCCCTCGCCCCCCCCGCGCCTGGGGGAGAGGTACTGCCCCCCCTCGCCCCCCCCGCGCCTGGGGGAGAGGTACTGCCCCCCCTCGCCCCCCCCGCGCCTGGGGGAGAGGTACTGCCCCCCCTCGCCCCCCCCGCGCCTGGGGGAGAGGTACTGCCCCCCCTCGCCCCCCCCGCGCCTGGGGGAGAGGTACTGCCCCCCCTCGCCCCCCCCGCGCCTGGGGGAGAGGTACTGCCCCCCCTCGCCCCCCCCGCGCCTGGGGGAGAGGTACTGCCCCCCCTCGCCCCCCCCGCGCCTGGGGGAGAGGTACTGCCCCCCCTCGCCCCCCCCGCGCCTGGGGGAGAGGTACTGCCCCCCCTCGCCCCCCCCGCGCCTGGGGGAGAGGTACTGCCCCCCCTCGCCCCCCCCGCGCCTGGGGGAGAGGTACTGCCCCCCCTCGCCCCCCCCGCGCCTGGGGGAGAGGTACTGCCCCCCCTCGCCCCCCCCGCGCCTGGGGGAGAGGTACTGCCCCCCCTCGCCCCCCCCGCGCCTGGGGGAGAGGTACTGCCCCCCCTCGCCCCCCCCGCGCCTGGGGGAGAGGTACTGCCCCCCCTCGCCCCCCCCGCGCCTGGGGGAGAGGTACTGCCCCCCCTCGCCCCCCCCGCGCCTGGGGGAGAGGTACTGCCCCCCCTCGCCCCCCCCGCGCCTGGGGGAGAGGTACTGCCCCCCCTCGCCCCCCCCGCGCCTGGGGGAGAGGTACTGCCCCCCCTCGCCCCCCCCGCGCCTGGGGGAGAGACACTGCCCCCCCCGCCCCTCTCCGGGGGGAGACACTGCCCCACTGGCCCCTCCCCGCTCCTCTCTGGGGGGAGACACTGCCCCACTGGCCCCCATGCTCCTTTCCAGGGTGGAGACGAGAGACACTTCCCAACTGGACCACCCCTCCTTTCTGCGGGGGAGGGGGAATGAGTGATTGACTAGACCTCCCACCCCTCCCCCCAACCTCCCCTCCCTTGATGAGGGGAGAGAGACACTGACTACCCAATACCTCCCAAACAACTCCCTTGGTGAGGGGGGAGAGGTAGCATCTGACTGACACCCCCAGTACCCTCCCTTCTTTCATGGAAGGTGGAGAGACAGTGACTGATTGACACCCCTTGAGGGGAGCAGGAGACCTTCCTCCGGCCACCCTCCGGGAAAGGAAATGCTGATCAACACCGTCCCCCTCCCACACATACACCTCTCGCTGGTGGGAGTGGGGGACACGGATTGACACCCCGCAACAAATACCACTTGCTGGGGTTGAAGAGAAGCCCACCTACCCCACTATTCACTGAAGGGCTGGTGAGCGCCAGAGACGGTGGCATGAGCCCCTCCCCTCACTGTGTGGTGGGGGGGGGGAGGGATTTACCACCCTTTTCCACCATGGAGGCTGGTAGCAGGTAGTACCAAAATGAGGGAGGAACAGACACTGCTGCTGTGGAGAGTGAGTAGGCTCAAGCTGCCTCCACACAGAGGAGTTACTCATAATTCTCTCTTTCTGATTCATTCATTCCCTCCCTTTTACCACCCCACATTTCCCTCCTTTATGAGTCTCCCTTCATAATCTTTCCCCCTTCTCTCTTTTTCCTGTCTCCATATAATCCCTTCCGCCCCGCGCCCCTTGCACCCATTTTACAATGGGGCTCCTTCCTTGTCTCTTCACTTCCTTCCCAATTTCCTCTCCTCTCATTCTCTCCCCCCCATCAGCTTTTCCTTCCACCAAATGACTCACATATTCAGCCAACCCTGCATGTGAACGTGACCCCAAGTGCCCCATACCCAGGGACTATGAGGGTAAAAGCAGCTGGAACATGAAGTGTGAACTGACAGAGGATTTTTTTAAAATAAAACTTGCCTAGATACTGTATATTAATTACAGTCAGTGTATTTTTCTTTTATGTGACTGTGTTTTTTAAAATCAGAAAAGGACAGATACTGCAGCTGGTAGAGAAACAAGTGCACATTTTTAAAATCAGAGATACTGCAGCTGGTAGAGAAACAAGTGCACAAAAGGAAATGGATAATTTAAAAAAGCTCAGGCAATTAAGGACAAATATACATACACACCCAATTAGTATCTCACTACAACATCTCTGATGCTCCTGAAACTCTCTGTAATGAACAATGAGGTAATGCCAAGTTTGTGTAAATGACAGTTGTCCCTTGTAATGTTGCAGTTGAGGGATGTGTACACAGCCTTGAAGTCTGATTGTTTAGGGATCATCTTCTGGTAACACTTAGACCTCAAGGCAAGGGATTGATTTTTAAAAACCCATGTTGTAATTTGTATTTAATTTTAATAACATTGGTATGACTCTTGAGAAGTTTTTGGTTGTGAAACAAGAAATAGTCTGAATTCCGTTGTGTGTTACAGCGTATGACCCCATAATAAGAGACTTTACAATATAAACCTGTGTTGACTGACTGTAGATACTTAACCTTTGAAATATTATTGATGTATGCACCTATTGTTATCTTTGGCCTGTAAATTTCCTCAGGGCTGGGAACTTTCTGCTGTAGCCCTATAAATTGGCATGCAAATCAGCTACAGATTGAAACTCTGTAATCGAGCACACTCTGGTCGGACATCCGTAGTCCAGCATAATTTTAGGTAGTCAGATGTTCTCTTATCATGGCTGTGGCCAAGTTTCCCGCGGTCCCATAAAGTTCACTTATAGCGACCAGACTTGACTCTGTGTTCTGTGCTGTTGTTTAGCTCTAATTTACCCCAATTGTCTTCTAAGAACCCAGTAAGTGGAAATGTTGATAACGCTGCTAATATTGACCTTCCATGGTCTGGCAAATTCTCTGGTTTGGCATCAGTCAGGTCTGGAGGATGCTGGACTAGAAAGGTTCAACCTGTGCTTACACTTTTAGGCATTGAATAAATAAGTAGTAATAGCTTCTCTGCAGAAGAAGAAGGCTCTATGTGCTGAATACCATTTTACCTACGGTACTAGTAGTCCAGTCCAATTTGTTGAAAGTAAGAAAAAGGATTCTTGTGCTAACTTGGATGTTAATGCCTTCTTTTCAAAAGAAGGAATTTTCCTGAGTATCCTGCTGTGTTCCCAAGAACTTTTTCCATCCATGAGCAGAATAAATTTTGTTATGTACAGAGGCATGTGCAGATGTGCACCACTAGTCAAATGCATGCTGTTGACCCTGGGCGCTCTGCTAATCCAAATGTATGCTGTTGACCCTGGGCGCTCTGCTAATCTGCTGGGCGACATTTGAAACTCACCTTGGTGGCCCAAGCTATCAGCTCATAGGAAACACTGGTGTCCCTGCTGTACATTTCCCACTATTATACAGTGTGCTGTATACCAACTTTTTGTTGCCATGCACTTTGGAGGTGGTTGCATTTCCACGATGTTATGAATATATTGTTTCTGAATTGTTCTGTATGGAAGGCATTACAGACAAACAACTGATGTATCTGAGAGTTGTTACTCTCCATTATCCTTTTAAAAGTGAATAGTTACAGTATATTTAACTCCCATAGTGTAAACAATAATACATTTGTGGCTCGCTCTGGAAAACTATGCAGTGACACACAGATAAAGCATGTGGTTCTAGGTTGTTTCAGCTTGCTTAAAATACAATTGCATAACCGAGAAATGTTTGTAACACCTTGGGTGTGCTTAGCATTTACTCTGAAAGAGAAACAGTAATCCTGAGTAAGGCTCATATTTTGTCACAGATATTTACACTAAAAATCACAGACAGGTCTCTGGAAATAAACAAAAAATCACAGAAGCCTATAACATGTCTGTGATTTTTTTACTAAAATATGCCAGACAAAATGAGGAGGAAGGGGAGGGTCTAGTACCCACAGGTACTAGGGGTTATGGGCCTTGCCCACCATGGCTGGGCTGCTATGGGAGGGCTTGGAGCTCTGAGATCCCTGTGCTATGTAGTGGCTAGGAGCTGAGAGCTGCTGGGCTGCCTGCCGACAGCTCCAGCCTGGGGCACAAGATGGCACGGATTCCATAACTTCCGTGACCTCCCTGACTTAATCATAGCCTTAACTCTGAGCAGTCACAGCTGAGTCAAATGTGTGTACTGCAAAGGAAAATAATGTGTTAAATAAAGTAAATGTGCTCTTAAGCAATGTTACCTCTAATTTTTTCCATCCACTGTGTGGAATACATTTTATGTGCACCAAAGCACGTACAGATGTGCACCACCAGAGGACACTCATGCTGCCAGCTGTGGGCGCTCTGCAAATCAGCGGGGTGGCATTTGAATCTCTCCTGGGTGTCCACCCAAGTGCTCAATTTACAGAGAACACTGCTCTTAAGCCTAGTTTTTATGAGATTACCTTGATGTTTGAGCTTGATGTTTACTTGATCCATTTGAGGTCAACACGTGATCAGCTATAGTCTTCAGCGTAAACACTGTTAAAACTGGTTTCTGGTTGTCTGTGGGAGAGTAAACACCATTGCTTTAAGATTTGAGTGTAATTTTTAAGCAGCCTTCATAGTTTGCAAAAAGTAGTCAGCAGATTACTATATCCTGGTAATAGTCTACCTTCGCTGAAACAAGTGGCAGCTGATTGACTGCTTGGCTCGAATCTGGAGCTTTACCAAACCTGTGAAGAATGGAGCCCTAGACGGCCTGAGCATTGATTGACCTTCCTTGGTCTGGGACATATCAGGTCCTGAGGGTGCCACATCAGGGAGATTCAGCCTCTATGGCAAAATGCATATATATAGTGCCTGCATAAAAAGACAGTCTCCGAATAATTTGGCTTTAAGACTAACCTCTTTAGTTTGGATACCATGCTGATGGGAAGTATGGAAAATCTTAAACTAGGTAAATACTAAACTCTTCTTTCTTACTTAGATGAAATGCTAAAATAAAACAGGATTCCATCTAGAGATGTAAAATCCCCTTTTAAATGTTAACTGGTTAAACTATATGTTTAACCGGTTAACTGGCTCGCCATGTGGCGTCATGGGCTGGGGGCTGCTGGATCGACCCCTTGCGTGTAGCTCGGTGTGGTGGGTCTGGCCTGGCTGGAGCAGCCCCCCCACCCATCGTGTGCCACAGATGGGGAGCTGTCCTGGCCAGGCACTGGCTAACTAGTTACCCCAGTATAGTTATGGTTAACCCTATTATGGTTAACTAGTTACCCCAGTAAGTATGCTGGCAGTGCTTACTGGGTAACCAGTTAACCCTTTACATTCCTCATTCCATGATAGCACATTGTATTTACCTATTGTAAATAAACCAGAATTCAGGTCATATGAATGTGATCTACTTGAAAGCTAAATTCCAGCTACCTTTTTTAGCATTAAAATGTGGCTATCATATAGGACTACCTTCAAGGTAGGTTAGATAGTCACCTAAATGCACATAATTTCACCTTCCAGTACTCTGAATGATGTGTAATTGTTTCTTGAGGCTCTGAGATGAACCAGTCATTGCTAACGTATGCCAATCAGTTTGCATGATCTCCAGAATAGAGGGTGGCTTTACAATATCTTTAACAATCAACAGACAGCATGTACAGTATAGGGTAACACTGCTGTCAGGGAGTTTTCCTTCCTTTTTCCTGAGGAGATGTGGTTTTGAGGAACTGTCCCATCTTGCTTACAAGCTTGCTGAATGTACTTCTCAAACTGATCTTGCTCAGTTTCGCTGAGACCCTGAGTGGCTGGAGAGCCCCAGAAGGAAGCACTTCATTGCCCTTTAATCACATGGGCTAGAGAAGGACAATTGGCTCCACACAGACTTCCTCTTCAAGGCTGGATTGAGCCGAGATAATTTTTTGCTCCATTTTGTGCTTTGCACTAGAAATGCAACCGATTTATTAATTGTGAGGATTAAGTTGCTTGTGAGGAATGAGCTGCTTATTAAAAATTGTGGACTGCAATTACTAGCCAGCCAGGCCAAGAAAATGTGACATGTCACAACTGCGGAGCACGAGTATGAACTTCGTTAAACTGACAGTACTTATAATAACAATAGGCAAGCTGACTGTCAGTGCATGAAGGAAGAAGTCTGTATTAGAGGAGTTTCCAAAATGTGCCCGGTAGATCTTTCAGACCAAAACTACTATTTTGCTCTTTACTGCTGCTTCAGTGCATTAGAAGGAACAATTATGTGGTTGGGTTACTTTAGATTAATTGCAACGATCATCCTACAAACAAATAAAACCTAGTCCTATCACCCGCACACCATGACTTTCTGTTTTGTGCTTATTCATAGTAGGGATGTGAAGGACTAGTTGACTATCCGATAAGCAAACGCTTATCGGATAGTCGACAGAATAGTCGACTAGTCACTCCCCTCCCCACCTTGCTCCCTCTATCAGATAGAGACAGCAAGGTGGGGGAAACGGAGGGGTACTTCAAAGCGGCAGTTCTGGGTGGAGCTTTGGGGTCAGACTCTGGGCTCCACATGCCGCTGCAACTTTGAAACGCTGCGTGTAGCTCGGGTGACCCCAGGCTGCATGCGGCATTTCAAAGCAGCAGCGCTGCGTGGAGCCCAGGATCAGCTGGGGACTCCCCTGCTGACCCTGGGCTCCATGGGATGCTGCTGCTTTGAAATGCCACAGGGAGCCCAGCATCAGGCTCCTCGCAGTGTTTCAGAGTGGCAGTGCTGCACGGAGCCCGGGGTCACTGGGGGAAGTCCCCATCTGACCCTGGGCTCCACGCGGCGCTTTTGCCTTTGAAATGCAGTAACAGCGGTATTGGGGGTGACGGCGCACAGGGGAGGCTTGCATGTAACTGTGAAGGTTAACTGATGAGCCCAGGTTTTTTCTTATTTTTTGGTGATAAAAATACAAATTTATTCATTGAGGGGGGAAAAATGGAAGGAACATGATACTGCGTTATTTTTGCAGTATCCAGAAGTGTTCTAGGTGCTTCACAGAATAACTTGAAACAAATGATTCTTGCCTCAAAGAGTTTACAGTCTACATTTGTGATGTTTTGCAAAGAGGGAAGGTGACACAAAGGGAGTGGAAGTAGCAGTTAGTCATGGTTAGTTTAGCCATGAACGTGTCTTGATTGTGCAACTAAGGGTTTTTAACACACAAGTGAGTGTATTCTGTTCAGGTTCTTATTCAGTTTTATCATAGTATCTGAACATCATTTGGAAGTGATTTAAGCAATATGATTGGTATCTGTCATGAATACATAAATAATTAATATTAGTTGCTCACTTTAGGCCTTGTAAAAGTGGATTTTCAAGATATAGTATCATCATATTGCTCCCATTTCACCCTATCACAGCTCTACCTGTTGGTGAGTCTTCTTTCACTTCTACCAAAACCTGGTTCAGTACTGGAGGAGAGTATTCCCACACGCTAAACGTTTTATTACCCACACCATTCGGCCTGCTACTTCCAGAGGGTGTCTGTCACCCTGCTTGTCTAGAAGTGCACCTCTCTAAGTTTATCTGTGCCCACAAGTTTTACATTAAAGTGTTTCTAGCAGTTGATCTTGATTCTGCGGGTGTCTCAGTGCAGGCAACTTGCATGACATCTGTAACTGGAAGCTCACCTTGTACTAGGGCCAGCCTGCCCCCGATGAGGGGTGTGGAACTGCTGCAGCAGCAAAGGGAGCTGCCAAAGTGGTACCGTGGTAATGGATATTTCCCTGGAAGAAGTCTCCTATTGCCTTCGATAAGACTGTAACTCCATTTTTGCTTGGAAAAGAATAAGTGCTGTTAAATCAGAATAAATCAGCCACACTAGAATATCTCTGGCACTGAGGTTTAATAATATGTCTGTTTTATTGTGTGGCTAGTGAGGAGCTTGGTAGCTAGAGGAAGTGATGGCATAGAACAGTGGTCTCCAACCTTTTGAACCACAAGATCACTTGTCAGTTTAAGTGCAATGTAAGATCTACCTCAAACCCAAATTCCCTTGCCTGGCTTCCTTCCTGTCCCTTCTCTGTGGCTCTGCCCCTGCTCCACACCTTCTCCGAGGCCTCACTCTGCTCTCTCCACCCCCCCTTCATCCCTGAATCTCATTCACTTTCATCAGGCTGGGTAGGGGTTGGGGTGCAGGCTCCGGTTTTGGGCCAAAGGGTTCAGTGTGTGGGTGGGGCTCTGGGCTTAGCCCAGAGTGGGGGGTTGAGGTCCAGGAGGGGTTTAAAGGGGCAAGCTCTGGGAACGCGTTTGGGTGCAGGGGGACTCACGTCTGGGGCAGGAAGTTGGGCGCTGGAGGAGGTTCGGGGCTGGGGCAGGGGTTTAGGAAGCAGGCTCTGGCTGGGCACCATTTAACTGAGATGGCTTTCGGGTGGTGGAGCAGTGGGGTTAAGGCAGCTTACTCCTGCCTTGGCCCTGCACCACTCCTGAAAGCAACTGGCATGTATAGCAATGGCTCCATGGTGCCATTATCTACAGGTACTGAGCCCACAGCTTCTACTGGCCACAGTTCCCCATTACTCATCAATGGGAGCTGCAGGAGTGGTGTCTGCAGGGAAGGGCAGCATGTGAGAGTGACAGAGATTTGCATTGCCAAGCTCCCTCCATTCCCTTCACTCTGTGTGGAGACAGGGTACAGGCGTGGGGGGACAGGGGACACCCTGACATCAGTTCCCTGTCCCCTTTTCCCTCCCACACCCTGCCCTGCAAGCAGGAGGCTGCCAGGGGGGCAGCTCCAAGGCAGAGGGTAGGAGCAGCATGACATTGGGTGGAGGGGCAATTGAAGTGCCAGCACTTGATAGCTTCCTGGCCAAATCAGTCAGGATCACCTGTCAGAAGCTCCGAGATCTACTGGTAGATCCTGCTCTACTGGTTGGTGACCACAGGCATAGAAAATCTGCGTTAAGAATAGCATTTGACACTTTCTTCTTTCTTTATAGAACTTGATATGCATACAAAATGTGTGGTGGATGTGGACACAAACAGGATTATTCTTCACCCTGTGAACACCAATCTTTCAAAAGGAGATGCCAGGTAAGACTTATAATTTAAGAAGTGCTGGTCAAGTGCATTAAGTTTGGGCCTAACAACTGGGAGATTTTGGTTCTGATGTGATCTTGGGCACATTCTCCGAAGTAGTTACTCCCATCTTTAAAATGAGGCTGCTAATGTGTACCCCACCTCATTAAGGTACTCTTGAGATCTTCAGGTGTTTCTAGAGTGGATACTTGTTCACCTCCCCTCTATGTAACTAATATTGCAACCCATAATGAGGTTAGTTACCTCTTCTTTACTCTACTCCTAGGAGATGATGTTATTCACTATTTTTAAGAGAGCAAAAATGTGTTAAAGTAGATTGAAGCTAAGAAGGAAAGGAGAGAAACACAAGTAAGAATTGTAGTATTCTACATTTCAAAATAGTTAGTCGGTTGACAGTATTAAATATAATGTATAACTACTTACATTACAGTGGTTTTGGGAATTTAGTGGCACACTAATTTATCTTGGCTAGTAGACTACTTCTTTGGGTAGAGAATATCTTATTACCTCTATATAAAACCATGGCATGCCCACATCGTGAATACTGCATACAGATGTGGTCACCTCGTCTAAAAAAAGATATATTGGCATTGGAAAAGGTTCAGAAAAAGGCAACAAAAATGATTAGGGGTTTGGAATGGGTCCCATATGAAGAGAGATTAAAAAGACTTGGACTTTTCATCTTAGAAAAAAGGAGACTAAGGGGGATAGGATAGCGGTCTCTAAAATCATGACTGGTGTGGAAAAAAAAATGAGTAAGGAAAAGTTATTTACTTATTCCCATAATATAAGAACTAGAACTCACCAAATGAAATTAATAGGCAGCAGGTTTAAAACAAACAAAAGGAAGTTTTTCTTTACTCAGCGCACAGTAAACCTATGGAACTCCTTGCCAGAGGATGTTGTGAAGGCCAGGACTTTAACAGGGTTCAGAAAAGAGCTAGATAGTTTCATGGAGGTTAGGTCCGTCAATGGCTATTAGCCAGGATGGGTAGGAATGGTGTCCCTAGCCTCTGTTTGTCTGTTAACGGGTGACTGGAGAGGGATCATATGAGGATTACCTCTTTTGTTCCCTCCTTCTGGGGCATCTGTCATTGGCCACTGTCAGCAGACAGGATATTGGGCTAGATGGACCTTTGGTCTGACCCAGTCTGGCCATTCTTATGTTTGGGCTAGAAGATGTCAAGTAACTTTTCAGGTCGTAAGTGGCATATGGAAAAGTGAGGCAAGAGGAGATTAAGGAGATCTTTTGCTGACTTCCACCAAAGTCATTTAAAAAGCTTCTACTGAAGTCAGTGGAAGCTGGCTCAGGGCTTTTGTGATTTGCCCAGAGTCAAATAGGAAGTCTGGAAGAGCTAGGTATACAACCCATATTATTTAGCTCATGACTCCAATCCTGTGCTTTTGCCACAAGGCCAACTGTCTAAACTGTTCATGTAAACTTAAAAAACAACAAATGGTCTGGTAGCGCTTTATAGGCTAACAAAGCATGTAGATGGTATCATGAGCTTTCGTGGGCACAGCCCACTTCTTCAGATGACTGGAGTTTTGAGTTTAGGATGTGCGGACCCAAAATAAATAGGGGAGAAGGGGGGTGGGAGGAGGAAAAAAGTCACTGGTAGTGGATAAAGAGCATGCAGTTCAAATACCTGTTATGAGAAGGAAATCAGTCATGTAGTGCAAGTACTTTCACTTCCCCTGGACTGAGTCAGCTCACTAAGCAATGGGCAAAGTTCAAATTTGCTAGAAGATTATGCTGGGATTACAAGGTGTGTATCCTCTATGGAGGGAAATCTAGAATTCCTCCCACGTCTAGGTAGGTAGACTGAAAGCCTAATTGCAAAACTGAGACCCATATACTTGGAGCAAAGCTGGTTGCGGGTGCAGAATAGAGTAGCTCATATTCTGTGGGGTTTTTTCCTTTTGGGTTACATGACCACCTCAGCCCCATCCTTTACCTGTGACATTGGCCAGTCTGGTTAAAGTTCTTCATTACACATCCCTCCATTAAAAAATGTCAGGAAATCTGGTCCAACTCAACAGGCAAGCATTTTCCAGTTTCCACACACTGTGAAATATTATTTAAGGGACAAATTACAGTCCCACATAACTGGAATGGGTAGCAGAGAGTCAGAAAGTTGACTGTGGCATGAGGATTGAGGGAACCCTCTGTATCAAGTAGATTTATATTGAAATGTCTGCACTGTCCCTATATCCTCCCAACACAAATTCCTTTGGGCCAGGCCCATGATCCTCTGTAAAATGTCTTGCTGCTATATTTGAGTTTTAGTAGAAGATTTCAGGCAGTAACTGAAATTCAGTTGATAAGGTGTCCTAGTTTGGATAAGGAACTGTGACAAGAGGTTGAACACGAAAAAGGCAATTTGTAATGGAGTTACTAGCAACTCTTGGGATACTTTTATTATATATTAAAGGAGACGACGTCTTCATTTGTCTTTCCCTTTTATCCCAAACTCCGCAGTTGATTATTCTGCAAGGTTTGACTCCTTTTTTTGTTATATTTTATTTTAAACATTAAGCAATCCAGCAAATCAACTGTTCTGACTGCTTTATGGCTTTATTTGCATATTACTGGATGTTGAATGATTAATCTTAATGACACTATAGATTTGCAAAGCAAAACTTCATAGTTAGGAGTGTTGTTTAAAAGAGACATTGGAACTCCTGAGTTCTGTTCCAGCTCTGTCTCATATGCCTGGATGATCTTTGAATTCACTTTGACCAAAATGTCAAACAGTTCACTCACTTTATGTACCTAGTTTACTAGGGATAACCAGCCCAAGACCCAGGGCCTAACTTTCATAGAGGCTCAGTTTCCACTGATATACATGATGTTGAGGGGTTTATTACTTCTGAAATTCAAGTTTTAGGGCGGGTGTTTCAAGTTGAGCACTCAGAATTAATGGATATCTTGAAAAATGAGGCTTTTAACCTCTCTGCTTTTCTCTCCATTGCTAGATGCATCTAATATTTACCTATTTCATTAAAAATAGTGAAAATTAATTAATGCGAGTAAAGTGATCTGAAAGTCTTAGATGAAATTAATCTGACTGTTTCTGGAAAGGTTATAGTCTGAAGATCCTTATTACACGTGCTAGCCTTCCTTACCCAGGAGTGACCTTACATGAGACAGAGAATCCAGACAGTTACTGTTCTGAGTGGTCCTTATTACGGCTGTGCTAGTAGTGTCTGGTATCTGCTCATGCAACGTACATCAACTTCAAAATCTACAGAATAACCTCCAAGTTGGGTATGCTACAGTACTAGCTCCAGTTTATTAATTTGTTTTGTGTGTGCTTCCTCTGTTGTAAAGAAAGAAGCTATATTATTGATCAGAGAGCATTATTGAGCTTCCAGTGTGTATAGCTATTCCATAATACTCTCTGCAAAGGGTTACCAAGAATAACTTCTCTAAAGCTGCTGTCATAATAATGCTTTGACAATAAATCCCTAGAAGTTTCTTTTCATCCGTGACTTTCCATGAATTATCTCATTTTAAATCTTGCTCCTCCCATCTCCATTCCCAAGAATATGTAAGTCCTCCTAGGATGTCCTGCATTTTGCTTCAACTACCCCAGACTAACACGGCTACAAGCTCCTCCCATCTCCATTCCCAATAATATGTAAGTCCTCCTAGGATGCAATGTAATAAATAGGTACTTTTCACATGAGTCTGTTGCATTTAGATAGGACACTTCAGGCTTGTTTACACTTGCAGCCCTGCAGCGGCACTTAATAAATATTCTGCCGATTTCTATAGGAGAGCTTCTTCCATCAGAATAGGTACTCCAGCTGCCAGAGTGGTGGAAGCTGTCAATGGAAAGCCTTTCAGTTTTCATAGTAGCACTGTCTGCTCTGGGGTTAGGTTCACATGCACTGGTTTTTGGTTTTGCCTGTGGAGTCTCCATCCTGAAGCCCTCCTGGGCCCCATCCCCTGACACTGCTACGCCCTCTTCTCAGCCCCTTCCTCTGAGCACCGCCTGTCTGCTGTTTGCTACTTTTGCCCCCTCCTGTCTTAAGGGTGTATGACAGGAGGAGGGGGCAGAGAGGAGCTTAATGCTGGGGGCTTTGGGGAACGAGGTGGGGCGGGAAGAGATGCAGCATGGATAGGGTTGGGGGAAAGAGGCTGAGCAGGGGAGGGGCCTGGACAATCAGCTGGGGGTGCTAAGCACTTCCTCCCCCTCCTTCCTCCATGGGTGCTTTAGACTTGTGGCATCCATGTAGTTGGTGCCTGTGTTTATGTTGGTATATCTATGTTGCCTGAAAATCCATGCCCCTGGGCAATGTTCTACCAAGATAAGTTTCTAGTGCAGTGGTTCCCAAACTTTTTGGCATCACGCCCCCCTTTTTGATTTTTGAAAAACCCTCATGCTTCCCCGCCCCAAATAGCAGCAAAACTTGTTGAGCAAAAAAAGAACTGAACAGTGCAGCAAAACTTGATGGGGTGGGGGAGGCTAGGCTGCCTCACACCCCCTCCCCGGGATTTCTTCATGCGCCCCCCTGTTTGGGAACCCATGTTCTAGTGTAGGCCAAGCCTAATTTTATCTTACCGAGCTGTTTATGTTCTCTCTGCAAAAGGTCAGAACTCATGTTTCCTTGCTAACGTACATTTTACAGTGCATTGCAAGAATTAGTCAAAAGTTTATTACTCTGTGGTTGGCATGCTGGTGGGGGTGAATTCATTTCAATAAGTGTGAAATGATCTACACAACAACAGTGATGTCTGAAATAGATAGCATTTCCTGAATCTTCTAAGGCTTCTTGCTTACAGACTTTTGTGTTTTGTTTTTGTTTAGAAAACATGGTAATTAAACTGAGATTTAACATGTTAGAAATTGGCGACTTTTGACCCATTGTAAACTGAGATTTAACATAAAAGTTAGAAATTGGCGACTTTTGACCCATTTGGGAAAAGAAGTTGCATACAATTATAGTTATGCTCTCGGTTAATTTGCTCATTGGTCTAACAGAGT